TCACGCTAAAATTACTCTCACGAATTCTGCTGCAATCGGCGCAATCTTGTATTCTATCATTCTTGGGTCATAAGCTATCTATGTGCCAAATTTCGTGAAAATCTGTTCAGTCGTTTCCGCGTATTAATTTAATTAAACTTTTTTAACAGGTGGCAACTCTTACAAAAATAGCCTATTAACCAATCTGGCCCATAGGCTATCTGCGTACAAAATTTCATGCAAATCAGTTCAGTCGTTTCCGCGTGATGATTTCCCACACATCCAAACATACAAACTTTCACATTTATAATATTATATATATATTATTAGTAAGATTACAAGAAAGAACAATAGTCTCTTCCCTACAAATTAAAAGTTGGACAAGATATATGGTATTCAGAAAAAACACAAGTTTCTTGCCTGTGAAGTTGTTAAGATCTTTCCCATTTTGGTTATTTTTAACATTTTCTGTAGTTTCTTATTTTTGTATACATACAATAATTAAATCTTTGAAAAATAGTATAAACAAATACATTTATTCTGCTCAATATGGTTATTTAACTAAAGTTTTCATGCACTATAAAATAAGAAATATGTGCTTAAAAAATGCAACAAAAACTGAAAAATATGTATGAAAAATATGCATGAAGAATCAAAAAAATGCCTTATAAATTCAAAAAATGCACTAAAAACATTATGTAAGCCTTCAGTTAATTCATACGTTTATTGAAGTTTTTAAAGCTAAATAAAATTAGGTACGAAAAATTTTTAATTCAATTTTGCTTTTAGCAAATAAGTACATTGCAATACACGGGTGTATATATGTATAGTAAAACGCAGTCTTAAAATACTACATCACATAATTTAACTTAATCTTTAGTTAGCGACTCATTAGTGTACACAATGAAATATTTTTTCATATTCTCAAAAAGAAAACTTTCCCTGTTCGGTCGTAAAAAGCTCTTATACATAGAAAACGAACGTTCTACATCCAGAGAAGTAATTGGAGCATGCTTAAAAGCGACCAGTTCGCTTGGAGTATATTCATTTTGTAAATCACTTTTTTCATTATTCAAATCAAAAAAGGTCGCAATCTCCTTTATTTGTTTAAATCCTTGATTTTTCTCCAAAAACAAATTCTAATTTATTTTTAATTAACTGTGCGATATTACCTTCTATAGCATTAATCTTCTTCTGTGCATCGATTATCAAACTTATTTGTGTTTTAAGTGAATTCTTTCTTTCCAACTTTGTAATGGTTTCGCTTAAAAATCCGTAATTTGAATGAATAAAAAGCAACTGAGATTTAATTGAGCTTGACTGTAGAGTTTCTTGAACTTTCTTAATCGAAAGCGACTCTCTGGCGTCGAATTCGTTGACCACTTCTGAAAACTCTTCAAAATACTTTACGTAATATCCAGTTGCGTCCAGCCATGTTCCCCATCTGGTAATAATGGGTTCTGGCGGAAGAGGTACATCAGGAAATTTTATCTTTTGCCGCTACACACTAGCAAGTCAATGTCTTTAAAGTTACTTCGTATCTCTTCTGCAACCCGATGGATTGCGTGAGCCAAACATGTAACATGCAAAAGCTTTGGGTAAAATATGTTTAAACTTTTTGCTGCCTTAACCATGTAAGGAGCAGCGTCAGATAAAAAAAGCCGTATTTTATTCTTTTCGAAATCGTCTCCCAGTAATTTCAACGAATCATTAAAGGTACGAGCAATAGAAGCGTAATTGGTTCTCTCCAGTTCTGCAACATTAAGCAAAAATTTTTTCTCGCTTAATTGCGGATCTTGATGCAGAACCCCAACAATAACATTCGCGACGAACCTACCCTGGATATCAGTTGTTTCATCTACTGACACCCACAAAAAATTTCCTTTCAACGCAGATTTTATTCGTTCTAACTGTTTAGCGTATAATTTATCTATGTAAGTCTTTCTCAACGCTGACTCCGAGGGAATCCTTTCGCTTGTGTATTTCTTTAAAAAAGTGTTTAGATGTGGGTTGTTTAGCTTTCCTAGAGGTATATCGGCAGCAATAAAGGCTTCGCATAAATCCATGCAAAAGTTATTTGGCGAAAGCGCTGCGGAAATGGGCAGCATTGACTGCGACGACTTTTGAACGCTTCGGCTATGCATATCTATGTGTTTCTGGCTTCTTAAATGTTGTTCTACCAGAAATTTTGTTGTATGACTTATTGCTTTGTTGCATGCTTTGCAGAAAAGAACTCTGCCATCTGTCTTGAAGACATCCTGATGCTCATTCAAAAATATTCGTAATTTTTCTGCTTCAGTCCTCTTTGATTTTGGCATGGTCAACTAAAATGATGTACGATTTTAAGAAATTATTCAAATAATTAAAAACGTCTAAATGGAACTTACATTTTTAACAAGCGTTGCCTTTCAAAATTTTCCCTGGAGGTAAATTGTTACTAAAAATTGCCTTCTAATGGTTTACAGAGTGGTCCGGAAACATGAAAAATCAACACTTTTATGTTTGCCAATAGATGTCGCACTACATCGAAAATAAATGATAGCCGTGTTCACACTAACCTCCGTACTGCGTCAGATNAAAAACGTCTAAATGGAACTTACATTTTTAACAAGCGTTGCCTTTCAAAATTTTCCCTGGAGGTAAATTGTTACTAAAAATTGCCTTCTAATGGTTTACAGAGTGGTCCGGAAACATGAAAAATCAACACTTTTATGTTTGCCAATAGATGTCGCACTACATCGAAAATAAATGATAGCCGTGTTCACACTAACCTCCGTACTGCGTCAGATGAGGTTTACGTGTATTTTGTTTGTGTAAAACTGCCAACTAACAAATTTACAAAATCCGTAAAACTACCAACTAGAGAAAATATGCACAGATCTGCAGATTTGTAAAGTTTTCCGTCAAGAGGCAATATAATGCCAAATATGTACTAAAAAAATGCAAGAAATGTGAAATATGCAAAAATATGCATTTATGACTAAAATATGCAAAAGCATTTGAATGCCATTTTTAAGATAATTTCACGATTCGCAGAGGTACTTTATCTATTTCGCTTTACCTAAGTCCAAAAAAAACATGTATTTGCATAGATTTCCATGCCCTAGTTATTACTATAAAATGGCAACTCAAGATTCGACTTATTCTGATAATAATCATGTGTTTACATATGCAAAAGAACATGTAAAAGTTCGAGGGTGCAACTATTATCGGTTCGTGTCTTTAATAAATCGCGGTTTAATTAATCGCCAAATTTTTGGAAACGGCCCCGCAGTTACACCATTTCTATATTCTTTGCACACACCTATATAGTATGTACCTGAAATGACATTTGAATAATACGAGAGTCATTAAAAAGCAGCGAAAAATTATTAGAATTCCGCTCAAAATTGGTGTTTCAAGTTAATTTATACGGGCTCAATTCTATGGATAAGTGAGCAAAAAATACACAATTTTGGTTTCATTTTGGACAATATGTATTTCCAAAAAACTTTTAAATTAGGTTCGTTATAAGACATAGGCCAGCTACACTTGTCGAGGTTGAGGAGAGTAGCAGCAGCAGTGGCAGCCCCAGCAGTGAAACCAAGTGAGAATATTTGGAATCATTGTATTAATATTACTTACATATGTATGTATTTGTTTTATAATATACAGAATACATAATATGCATGGTCGGCTAAAGACTACTTCAAATGAATACATACTTAGATAGTACATATATAAATACCTCGTATATGCGGAATCCAATACCACGTCATGTATGTACAATAAAAAAGGGATTTGGTTATTATTCTTCCATTACTGCTTACTTTATTAATTTAAGTTAAGATTAATAATAATAATCTTATAGCAAGTAGGTTCAGTTAAAATACCATTCCACAGTTTTGAAAAAATCGTTTTTTTGCGCTTTGGCGTATACGAGGTATTTCGCGCTGAGCGACGATGTAGTTCAATAACTCCAATTTTTAATTGTTTCATCTTTAAAATATATACAATGTGGTTGTTCACGCTGATTAGGTATTTCATTGAATTTTTCAAAGAAGTTGGAAACTGTGTACCTATGTACTTATTTAAAAACGTCATTTAGAGTCTGGTAATGTTTACGAAGATATTAACATATATATGGACCTAATACGGAAGCCTGATTTTATAAAATATGTATTTATATATATATATACTTAAATATGAATGCATTTCATTTATTTTCAGCCTTAAAAGGATTTACTTTTCAAAAATGCAAATAAAAATTGATTTTCTTTGGTTTGTAAAATTTGTCTATACTTACTATATAAAAGAATTTGTGATGACCTGAATTGTTAATCTAATAAAAAAATTGGTTATTTTTCCTTAAATTTGGTAACTTTTTCGTCTAATCTTGGTTAGAAAGTTCTTTGAGCGGCGGCAACACTGGCTGCCGCTACTAATACTTCGACGGCAACAAACAAAGAAGAAAATAAAGCAAAAAGTGCTACTGTTCAGATTGGGTTAGATCGCTACTTACTAATAAAGCGAAAGTGCACACCCAAAAAAAATGGAAAACAAAGTCCAAAAAATAAAATCTTGAATGTAGGGACTTCAGGTACATCTACATCGGCGGAGAATAATCGTTTTAGTGTTCTCGTTGATATGAATAATGATTCTAACCAATAGGTAGTTAAAAAATACAAGCCTCCACCTATTTATTTACGAGAACAAAGATCTAATGCTCTGGTAGATACTCTCCTAAAACTAGTAGGGAAAAATAATTTTCATGTAGTTCGTATTAAATAGCGTAATATACACGAAGTGAAAATTCAGGCTCAAAACGAAGATATTTTTCGTGAAATTACCAATGAATTTGATAAGTGTAAGAGATCTTATAACACTTATCAACTTAAAGGTCNGGTAGATACTCTCCTAAAACTAGTAGGGAAAAATAATTTTCATGTAGTTCGTATTAAATAGCGTAATATACACGAAGTGAAAATTCAGGCTCAAAACGAAGATATTTTTCGTGAAATTACCAATGAATTTGATAAGTGTAAGAGATCTTATAACACTTATCAACTTAAAGGTCGTCGAGGACTAGAAGTTGTCATAAAAGGCATCGAGTCCAGCGTGAACTCACAAGAGATAGAAAATTCTCTTAGGGAAGAAGGTTTTAAGGTGCGCAATGTTTTCAACATCAAAAATAAAGAAAACATCCCTCAACCGATGTTCAAAATAGAGCTAGAACCTGACTTTCATAACCTGAAAAAAGGGGAAGTGCATCAAATATATCAATTGCGATATCTTTACACCGCAAAATCTCCGTAGAAGAACCCCATAAGCGTAGAGGCCCTGTTCAATGTCACAACTGCATGTGTAAAACCAAAAATGGACCCGAAATCCAAAAAGTGCAGTAACTGTGGTGGAAATCACACTGCTTATTATAGAGGTTGTCCAGTTTCAATGAAAGAGAAAACAATTCCCAAAAATATTCCTATTAGGCATAACCCCCCCCCAATGCCTGCGCCAACGAGCGTAAACAATTTTACTTCATATGCACAAATTCTGAAAAATACTCCTCCAACACAACGTCCTTTTGGTCAGAATAGTAGTAACCTAGAAGCTACTATAAATAACTTTATGAAAGTTATGCAGGAGCTAATGATGGCAATGCAGAGTATGATTCAAGATTTGATTAAAATCAAAATCTATTACTTCAAGCAATTTTAGCTAAACCATGAATAGCATAAACCATGAAACAGCATAAAAACGAACTAGAAACTTTCCTAGAGCGCTTTCAAGTAGACGTTTTGCTTGTATCTGACTATTGAGAGGACAAAAAAGAGAGTAAATACGGTTCTTTCTCTGTCAGAAGTTACCAGTTTTAGTCCTAGAATTTTTCGCTGGTAAATTCTGGTAAATGTGTCAAACGATCAGCTGTAGTGTGTTTGGCAACCAAATTGTAAACAAAAGAAAAGTGCACTCTGCTAATTCATGTTGAAAAGTATTTAATTACTTGTTAAAGTGGATTCTAATGAATTTGAAAGTATTTTTGGTTATTTACATGTGTGAGCTGAGTGTGTTTACATACAAAATAAGCAAAAATTCACAACCAAAATTTGGAGGTTATGTTGAAGTTGACAGAAGTTAGCATTTTTTACTAGAAAGCGATCCCGTACTTTTCAATGTTACTCTCTCGCTCTGAGCGAATTTTTATTTTTTGACAGTTTTACTAGTTTTAGTCCGAGGAATACGGGATTGCACCTATTAATGGTTACAAATTCTATGATGCTAAGCATCCACAAGGGAAAGCTCGAGGTGGAACAGCCATTCTCATTCGTAACAGAATAAAGCACTATAAATTAGAATCGCAAAGTGATGAGTTCATTCATAATACTGCAATACACATTGATGACCACTTGGGTGGCCTTACTGTATCTGCTATATACTGTATAAAAATCTTAAAAATAAGCACACAAACTGGTTAAAATACAAAAAGTATGTCAGTTCGCACATTGACTCGCAAATTCCTATTCAGACCAAGAATGATATCGACAGGGCAGCTGAACATCTCACTGATATAATAGTTAAGGCCGCAGAAATTCGCTCTCCGAAGCTTAAACAGGAGCTGAATGCGTGTACAAACGAATTACGTATTTTGTCGCAGGCGGAAAAAGAAAGAAGTACACAATCAATCCTTCAGTCCTTGTCTGCATCGAAACAGACTGACTACTCCCTTCGGCGAACACTGAAGCATGCGATGAGGCTCGTTCTTCAAGAAGCACCATTACGTACTCAGAACGGAAGCTGGGCGAGGAATGATGAGGATAAAGCCGCTTTCGCCTGTCATCTTTCACAAGTCTTTAGACCCAATGAAGGCGCTCATCCTTTCAATAGCCGTACCACAAATCCGCTTCGGTTTAAAAAGACAGATTTAATTAACATAATTGTTCACGACATTCAGAAGAATAAAGCGCCTGGTTACGATAGGATTACAGGTGAAATGATAAAGGAGCTTCGACTAAGTGCCGTACGTCTTTTGTTACATATTTTTAATAACATGCTTAATTAAGTTGGGGCACTTCCCCGACTTATGGAAACTTTCGGAAATAATTATGGTGCCAAAGCCAGGCAAAGATCCGACGGTAGTAAATTCATATCGGCCCAGTAGCTTGATTTCTGTATTTTCTAAAATATTCGAAAAACTTCTATTGAAAAAAGACAACCTCTTCTAATAAGTGACCAAATAATACCACCACATCAGTTCGATTTTCGAGAAAAACATGGCACTGTAGAACAAGTTCATAGAATTGTTTCTTGTATTAGAAAAGCCTTCGAAAGGAAGCAATACTGCACCGGTGTATTTTTGGACATCTCACAAGCTTTTGACAAAGTCTGGAATGATGGCCTTATATACAAACTAAAGGTTTCACTCTCTGCAAACACGGATGCAATTCTGGAAAGCTTTCTGCTGGGGAGAAACTTCAGAGTCAGGCAGAATTCCTTTAGAACGGGAAGTCACCCTATATATGCAGGTGTCCCTCAAGGCAGTGTTCTAGGACCCATATCGTACGTAATATACACTCGTGATTCGCCAACTGATGAAACTCTAACCATTTCAACGTTTGCTGATGACACAGC